GGGTCATTGTAGACTTAGTGGGCTGACTGGCCTGCTTCCTTTCCACACAGTAGGGATTCTGTGACTTCTACAATTAAGTCGGATTGCTTTAGTGTGAAAGAATTAGACAGAGTGAAATTTTTAAAATAGATTCAGGAGAGCTTTTTGTGCCAGTATGTAGATAGCCCCACTAGAGACGGGGTAGTGCTGGACCTAATCCTAGGGAATTAGCTGATCTAGTAAACTGGTCACATTTCATTGGATGAGCATTTTGGGGATAGTGACCATAAGTTTCAAAGTCATTATGGAAAGGGATAAAGATAGTCCAGAAGATAAGTGCCTAAATTGTGGGGAAGGCCAATTTTAATATCATTAGACAGGATCCGGCAAACATAGATTGGGAGCAGCTACTTGCAGGTAAGTTTATATTTGGAAAATGGGAGCCTTTTAAAAGTTACATTGTGAGAATTCAGGCCAGCGTGCTCCTCAACGAGTGAAGGACAAGGGCAGAAGCATGTCAACAGATATGGACAGTTGATAAAGAAAAGGAAGGAAGCATATGTCAGGTACAGCACATTAAAAACAGGACAGGCTCTTCAAAAGCATACAGACAGTAGGAGCTTATTTAAAGAGAAATTAAGACAGCAAAGAGAGGCCATGAAATATATTTGGCAGATAAGATCAAGGAAAACCCTAACGCATTTTATAAGTATATTAAGAATAAGAGGATTACCAGAGAAAGAGCAGGGCCTATTACAGACAAAAGGGGCAACCTGTGGGTGGAGCCAGAGGACATGGGTGGGCTCTTAAATGAAAGTTTCTCATCTGTATTCATAGAGAAGACAGATATAGTAGCCATAGGTTTCAGTTGGGATGGTGAAGTTTTAGAACTTAAGATTAATAAGGAGGAGGTTTTATATGTTTTAGCAGACATAAAAGGTGCATAAACCTCCAAGGCCTGACAAGATGCATCCCAGGTTGCTACAGTAGGCCATGGGGGAGATTGCTGGGGCCCTCGTGGGGATAGTTAATAATTTGGTGGACACAGGTGAAGTGCCAGATGACTAGCTAAAGTGGTTCCTTCAGACAAGAAGGGCAGCAGGGATAGGCCAGGTAATTATAGACCAATTAGTATGACATTGGTAGTTGGGAAATTATTGGAAAAGTTGTGAGCGATAGGATTATTTAACACTGGGAAAAGTAAGATTGATCAGGAATAATCAGCATGGATTAGTGAGGAGAGAGAGCCTGTTTGACTAACTTTATTGAGCTTGTTGAAAAGATGATAATATATTGATGAGGGTTGCGCAGTTGATGTGGTTTATATGGACTTCAGTAAGGCCTTTGACAAGGGCCCACATGGAAGGCAAGTTTGAACAGGTGGGATCCAAGACAAATTGGCAAACTGGATCCAAAACTGACTTTCAAATAGGAGGCAAAGGGTGATGATGGACGGTTGTTTTCATGATTGGAAGGTTGTGACCAGCAGTGTAGCACACAGATTGGTGCAGGGACCCTAGTTTTTTTTTGTGTACATCAGCAACTTCAATGTCAATCTAAAAGGTACAATTAGTAAGGTTTGCAGATTACACAAAAATTAGTGATGCTGTTAATAGTGTGGAGGATTGTCTCAGGCTACAGTCTGATATTGATCAGCTGGTAAATTGGGCAGATACAATTTAATCCCAATAAGTGAGAAGTGGTGCACTTTGGGACATCATATAAGGGAAGAATATACAAAATGAAGGGTAGATCCCAGGGGAGTACTGAAGAACAAAGAGACTTTGACGTATAAGTCATAGATCCTTGAAGGTGTTAGCATAGATAGTCAGAGTGGTGAAGGCAGCATATGGGATGCTTGCCTTCATTAGCCAGGCATATGATATAGAAGCAAGGAAGTCCTGATACTAGTTTATAAAACACTGATGGAATATTGCAAGCAGTCCTGGTCGCCACACTATCAGGAAGGATGTGATTGTACTGGAGAGGGTGCAGAGGAGATTTGCCAAGACGTTGCCTCAGTTATGAGGAGAGATTGAATAGGCTTGGGCAGGGTGGGTGGGAAATGATTGAGGTATACAACATTGACAGGCACAAGCTGGATAGATTGTGACAATCTTTTCCACAATGCAGACGTGTCTAAGACCGGAGGGTGTAAGATTAAGGCGAGGACTAAGTGGTCTGGAGAAGATTAGAGGGAAAAAACAAGTTTTCACCTAGAGAGAGTGATAGAAGTATGGAACAAGCTGCTGAGAGGGTGATGGAGGCAAGTACACTTGCAACATTTAAGAAGCATCTGGATGAGCACTTAAAAGGCCAGGGCATAGCAGGCTATATAGCAAGTGCAGGTAAATATGATTAGTGTAGTTTGGTGTTTGTTCGTTGGCATGGACAGGGTGGGCTGAAAGCCCCATTTGTATATTCTACAACAAACAAAATAAATATTAAAATAGTTTGAAAGAGTCATATTTTAAGGTTTCAAATCAATCTCAGTTAAAAAGGTCATAAATACTGATAAACACCATTATTAATTTGAATCCAAACAAATTAGATTTTAGCTATAATTTTAGAATAATTGAATTATGTAAAATTAAGATTGCAAAGTTTTTCTAAAACAACTATATAGTGGTAAGGAAATTAAGTGACTTCGACATGACCCGAAAGATTTTCATCTATCACCCAAATGGTTTATTGTGTTACATAGTCTCAACGCAAACCACAATAAACATATAACCATGAGATACATGTACATAAACCTCACAAGAGAGACTGGAATAATCAATCAATCATTCTCAACAAATATAAATTACATCAAGAAAATGCACACTGTGCTCAATGATAGTTCCAAGTTTACATCTATAGGACCTCCCACTACACTTTACTGAACAGCCATACTCAACAGCAATTATCAGAAGTGCTTGTTGGATTTGCATAATGTTAGTAACATGTCTGACAATCGATACCATAGGACTTTTTTCTCATGGCTCTACTGCATGAATGGGCTACCCAAGACAGACAAAAGCGATGCCCCTTTACACCCTATTCTACGAATGGCTTTGCACAACATGAATTGGTCAAATGAAAGATTTCTTCATATTCAGTAATTCTGTACAAGAGTTTCATATTGACAGCAATAACAGTCCATGTGCTCTTTTGGCATTACCAGCTTTTATACCAACACGTCACTCAAGAAGCCACTGATATTTGTACAATCACTATATCATAGCAAACCAGATGTGCCACCACTGTCTGAATCTTTGTTAATTGGACTCATCAAAAACTTGTGCTGTTGAGTTCAGTTTAAATGATACCACGTAAGCCGAAATAGGAAGCACTGCCATGGGATCTCCACTGGGCCCAGCCCTTGCCAACATCTTTGTTGGTTAACATGAGAAGAGCACCTTTGCTAGAAACGCCACAAACGTCTTACCCTTGCATATTTTGGATTTGTGAATGTCACGTTTGCAATATATGAATCTTCAGCTGCAAAGAATTTCTGTAAAATGCCATCCTGCATTTGGGCTTACCACTTAAATGGCACAAATGAGTCCCGTTTCCTTGATGTATTAGCTGAGAGTCTGTCAATGGGTTCTTAAGTATCTACCAAAAGCTTACACTCACATTAGTCAATATCCTTTTTATTAATTATTAATTCATTCATGGGATGAGGGCATTGCCGGCTAGGCCAGCATTTATTGCCCATCCCTAATCAACCAGAGGGCAGTTAAGCGTCAACCAACATTGCTGGGGACCTGGTGTCATGTGTAGGCCAGACCAGGTAAAGATAGCAGTTTCCTTCCCTAAAGGACTTTAGTGAACCAGATGGGTTTTCGTGACAATTGTGAATGGATTCATGGTCATCTTTAGACTCTTAATTCCAGATATTTATTGAATGTAAATTCCACTATCTGCCATGGTGAGATTTGAACCCAAGTCCTCAGAACATTACCCGAGTCTCTGGATTAACAGTCCAGTGATAATACCAATGGCAATTGCCTCCCTAATATACATGCTGGAATCCCTAAACACCCATGTGATACGAGCTCAAACTTAGCAGCAACCTTGGGAATAGGGCCCCAGCCATCAGCTCATCATTTAAGCTTAATGCTGTGATGGGATATAGTAAAACTACCCTGCGAGATTATGGGTGTCTTGATCAAATCATCACTCATATCACAAAAACCCATGAAAAGGCCTCTATCCAACACCTTTAGCGCTGAACAGTACCCAGTCTACCTCAGATAACCCTGGAAGGGAAATATGTCTCAGAAATTTGAACACCAGGTGAAGTTAGCTGTCTCAGCTGCTACTATGCAGTACACCCACGAGAGGTTTCCTTCATGAACAGGATACTGCTGTCAAGCCAAAAGACTTTCTGCTTACCACACAAATGAGTAATGTGATGTAGGAATTTCAGTGACTGTGATACCGGTATGAAGGCTGTACATTCCAAAGACTGGCAGACCATATCAAACAATACATCCCATTGATCAGTTGCTGCAAGCAGCATGTCAATTGTGTTCAACCATAGAGCGATGTTTGCAAGCCTCAGAATAGAATATCCACCATTACCTCTGATTCTGTCATTGCAAATCATTTATTACATCATATGGACTGTGCTAAGTGTTACATTAGAAACCAATTTAAGATCATCAGTTAGGTAGGCAGTGTGATGCATGTGTGTGTACTGGAAACTACATATATAAATACACCAGTACCCTGTTTTATATTGGCAAAAGGAATTTGTACATATATTGTACTTGAAAGAGATCACAGATACAGCCAATCTCTACTGCATCCTCATTGCAACACAATGACCAGAATCCACCTGCTTGGTCTAAAAATTAAGTGTTTAATTAACTGTTCTTACTGGTTTTCCATGACAATGATAGCTGAACCAATCAACACCCTCTTCTCATGCTGTATGAAATGGTTTACATTTTGTTAAGTTCATTTTCTGATTCTGATGAGTACAAGACAAAAAGCTTCTTCTTGTCTTCTTTTAGCAATGTTTAAATTACCTTTTTCACAGTCTTGTCAGGTTCCAAAGCAATATCTGGAATATTGGCATCTACCATTAGCGAGAACAGATTCAGTATGAGATTAGAATATCTGGAAAAGCAGTAAATATTTTGGTAATATGGATATAATAGACTGCTATGCGCTCACAACATTTACAAATATTTATTTCAATCTGAAACTGCGTCCCTATAGGAGGTGAGTTAGTTTAATGATTTGTTATTTTGCAAGTATTAAGTAAAAAAGGATGCTGTAAAGATTTTAGGTCTATGACTCGAGTATAGAATGATATCAAAGTTCAGAGGTCAAACAAGAATCAAAGTTGGAACCATTAAAAACCATTACATTTATAACAATTATGCATCAGTTAGAAGTGACAGACATGATGTTTTACTGTATAAATTTATAAAAAAGTAGCCAATATCATGTCTCATGTTTTGGTTGTGCAGCAATATTTAAAGACATTGTTTAATAATTGCAAGATATGACCCAAGGAAAAAACAACTGCAGTATTTCAAACAAATTCGGAAAATGCCCACACAAATACCAATATGGTTTCTAATGACCATTCTCTATTAATTTCATTTGATAATAATTAGCTCAATTATCCAAAAGATGTACTTTGTTCTTAATTTTCTCTAATTGGTCATTATCTGCCTTGCCTCTGATTTTTGGCTAGTTTGCAGACGAAGGAATAGTGCTTTTTGTATTCATTCCAAGCCAATAATAGCAGTAAAGGGCATACTATAAACTTTGATTGTTATCTTGCTTATAATTTTTCTCATTAAAAAAATCAAATTTTTGGCTTCCTCTCATTTTTACACAAAGTCAATTCTCCAAACAACATTAAAAAGGTACATCTTGATGTATTAGTGTATTTCTGATGTGCCGATGTGAAATCTTATTAAAAGTTATATCTGGGCATTCACAATGCATTCCTTCTGAAACATATCAGACAAAATCTTTGAAAAACTTAAGCTTTAGCTAAAAAGGACTTTCATTCCCTGGATATTATGCTGTGTTTCAACAAATTACATCTTTTATTCACCGGAATTGGTTTTATAGGTGACTATTTTGATCTCTGTACATTTCAAGCTGTCTATTCTATTACTCTGGCATACATGGTATATTCTTTCAAGGCAGACGTTCTATCCACCATTGTCTTGATTTAATCAACCATTAATTAATTTTGTTATAAAACAGTTTTTAAACTCAGGTAATTCCTTACACTCGTTTCATATGCTCCCAATATTAGTGTACAAATGCCTTATTTCATTTCTCCATTAATTTTGTCCTTTATTTCTTCCCCTTCTCTTTCAACATACATTTATAAACATTTTTTACTTATTCACCAGTACCCTATTTAGGCAGCTTGTAGACCGCCAAATCAATTAATGTACTTGGTAATTGATGTATCATAGAATTTCTACAGTGTGTAAGCAGGCCATTTGGCCCGTTGAGTGAACACCGACTGTCTAAACAGCATCCCACCCAGACCCAACCCCTACCCTATGCCCAATCCATCTAAGCTACACATCCCTGGACACTATGGGCAATTTAGAATGGCCAAATCACCTAACCAGCACATCTTTGGACTGTGGGAGGAAACTGGAGCACTCGGAGGAAACCCACGTAGACACGGGGAGAATGTGCAAACTCTACACAGACAGTCGCCCGAGGGTAGAATTGAACTCAGGTTCCTGGCACGGTGAGGCAGCAGTGCTAACCACTGAGCCATTTGCTGCCCGTGTAGTTTTGGTTTATTTCCTTCCAACCTTACTAAAATGTTCTTCTGTTCCAGTGAGGCTTACTTAACAAAATCATCCTCATCAGTACTTTTTCTCTTTTACTACATTTGTTCACAAAATTTTCCTTTCAACTTCAGATTTCTAGAATAGAGAGCTTTTGCCTTTTCAATGTATTATTAGTGCTGATTTGATTTAACCCACAGTATTCTGAAAGAAAATATTTTCAAAATATGCAAGACGACAGATATTTCATGAGCCAAACATCAGGATTCACTCAAATAGCAGCACCAGATTTGTTCGATGCATTATTTACTCCCAATGTTTCATCTCTCTTGCTGGCCACACCTGCAGATTTTCAGATAATTAAATTATTTCAGAGTAAATATTATCCTCAGAAGTGAAACATTAGCACATGGGGTTTTCTCTGTCCACTGGAAATAGGAATGAGGGTCGGCCCACTCCACCATGCAACTAAATCATGGCTGAATCTGACATTCCTCTTATATACTTTCCTGCATTTTCCCCATAACCTTTAATTCCATGACTGATCAAGAATTTATTTACCTCAGCCTTAAATATACACAAGGACTCCATCCCCATAACTCTCTGTGGCAAGGAGTTCCAAATTCTCTCAACCCTCCAAGAGAAGAAATTCCTCCTCATCTCAAGTCTTAACTTGGCACCCCATAATTCTAAAACTGCGCCTTCTGGTCCTATGAGGGGAAACATCCCTGTCAAGCCTCTTAAAAATTCTATGTTTCAAAAAGATCACCTTGCACACTTCTAAACTGCAGTGAGTAGAGTCCCAACCTGTTTAGCCTTTGCTCATAAGACAATTCCTGCATTCCAGGGATCATTTTCGTGAACCATCCCTGAACTGCCTCCAATGAAATGATATCTTTCCTCAGGTATGGGACCAAAACATCTGTGTGGGAAAACTGCTGGAGTGGATAATCACGAGTAGGGTAATTGATCAAATCAAAAAATTTCAGTTAATCAGAGTCAGCATGGATTCAGGAAGGGTAGGCCATGCTGACAAACCTCAGAGTTATCTTGAAAAGATAACAAAGGTGGTGGACAGAGTTAAGATGATGGATGTTGACTTTTAATAAAGTTCCATACAAAGAGACTGTTAGCTGAGGTGGAAGTCCACTGATTATTTTTTTAAAAATTCATTAACAGGAGGACAAATTACTGACATGGACAGGAAATTGGTTAGTGGAAGGAAACAGTTGGAATGATCGATAATACTCAAATTGGCAGGACATGACTGGTTTTCCACAGAGGTCTGTGTTCGGGCACAATATTCATTATTAACTTGGATAACGGGATAAAAAGTCAAATATCCAAATATGCTGATGACACAAAATTGGACTACAATGTAGACAGTGCTCACTACAGCACAAAATTACAACAGGATATCGATAGCATAGATGAATTAGCAAAGCTGTGACAAATGATTTTTAATAAAAGCAAGTGAGAAGTTATCCATTTTGGACCAAAAAATGATAGATACACGGAATCTTTTTTTAAGGAGGCACAAAGTTATATACAGTGGATGTCCAATGAGATTTGGGGGTTCAGGTTCATAGCTCTTTAAAATGCCACAAACAAGCACAGAAATAGCCAAGGCAGCTAATGGAATGTTGACCTTCACATCTAAAAAGGGGAGTATAGGGATGCAAACATTATGCTGCAGTTATACAAAACCTTAATTCAAGACTACTTAGAGAGCAAGTCTGGGCAGTACATCTTAGGAAGGATGTTTTGGCCCTGAAGGGAGTTCAATGCAACTTTACAAGGATGATAACGGAATTTCAGGGGTTAGGTTATGAGGAGAAATTGGACAAATTAGGCCTCTATTTTAAGCACTGATCCAATAGAGGTCTTCAGGATATTAATAGGAAAAGGTAGGACCAATAAAGATAAACTATTTCACATAGTTGGGAAGTTTTAGAATCAGCGGATATAGTCTTAGAATTAGGGCCAGGCCATTCAGGAGATGTTGGAAAGCATTTCTACACGCGAAGAATAATGGAGGTGTAGAAACATAGAACCACAAAAGATAGGAGCAGGAGACGGCCATTCGGCCCTTCGAGCCTGCCCCACCATTCTTAACGATCATGGTTGATCGTCCAACTCAATAGTCTAATCCTGCTTTTTCCCCAGAACCTTTGATCCCATTCGCCCCAAGAGATATATCTAGTCACCTCTTGAATACATTCACTGTTTTGGCATCAGCTACTTCTTGTAGTAATGAATTCCACAGGCTCATCACTCTTTGGGTGAAGAAATGTCTCCTCATCTCCGTCCTAAGTCATCTACCCTAAATCCTCATACTGTGACCCCTGGTTCTGGACACACCCACCATCGGGAACATCCTCCCTGCATCTACCCTGTCCAGTCCTGTTAGAATTTTATAAGTCTCTATGTGATCCCCCCTCATTTGTCTGAACTCAAGCGAAAACAATCCTAACCTAGTCAATCTCTCCTCATACGTCAGACCTGCCATCCCCAGAATCAGCCTGGTAGACCTTCACTGCATTCCCTCGAGAGCAAGAGCATCTTTCCTCAGAAAAGGAGACCAAAACTGCACATAATATTCCAGGTGTGGTCTTACCAAGGCCCTGTATAACAACAACAACACACCCCTGCTCCTGTACTTGAAACCTCTCACAATGAAGCCCAATATACCATTTGCCTTCTTTACCGCCTGCTGCACCTGCACACTTACCTTCAGCGACTGGTGCACAAGGACTTCCAGGTCCTGCTGCACACTCCCCTCTCCCAATTTACAGCCATTCAGGTAGTAATCTGCCTTCTTGTTTTTGCTTCCAAAGTGACTAGCCTCACATTTATCCAAATTATACTGCATCTGCCATTGATTCGCCCACTCACCCAACCTGTTGAGATCATGCTGAAGGATCTCTGCACCCTCATCACAGTTCACCCTCCCACCCAACTTGGTATCATCTGCAAACATGGAGATGTTACATTTTGTTCCCTCATCCAACTCATTAATGTATTTTGTGAATAACTGGGGTCCCAGCACCAATCCTTGTGGCACCTCACTAGTTACTGCCTGCCAATTTGAAAAGGACCCATTAATTCCTACTCTTTGTTTCCTCTCTGCCAACCAGTTTTCTATCTATCTCAATACACTTCCCCAATCCCATGTGCTTTATTCTTGCACATTAATCTCTTCTGTGGGACTTTGTCAAACGCTTTCTGTAAGTCCAAATATACCACATTAACTGGCTCCCCCTTTACTAGTTACATCTTCATAGAATTCCAACAGATTTGTCAAGCATGATTTCCCCTTCATAAATCCATGCTGACTGTGTCTGATCCTGACTCTGCTTTCTAAATGCTCTGCTAGAAAATCCTTGACAATGGATTTAAGAATTTTCCCCACTACCGATGTTAGGCTCAGGGGTCTATAATTCCTCGTTTTCCCTCTACCTCCCTTTTTGAATACTGGAGTGACATTAGCCACACTCCAATCTGCAGGGACTGTGCCAGAGTCTATAGAATCCTGGAAGATGGCCACCAATGCATCCACTATTTCTAGAGCCACTTCCTTAAGTACTCTGGGGTGTAGAGTATCAGCCCTTGGGGATTTATTGGCCTTCAATCCCAACAATTTGGAATGACTTGGAACTCTCTCCCTCAATGCTAATTCATTTGTTAAATTTAAATCTGAGATAGACAAGTTTTTATTAAACAAGGATATGAACCCAAGGCAGACATGTGGAGTTAGGCCAGAGATCAGCCATAATTGTATCGAATGGCAGAGCAGACTTGAGGGGCTGAATGGCCTACTCCTGTTCTTATGTTTCTAAAACTACTCACAGTACTCTGGATGTGGTCTTACTGCAATTACTAAGATTTCCCTATTCTTATACTTCAACTTCTTTAAATAACAGCCAACATTTCATTAGCTTTCCTGATTACCTGCTGCACCTGTGTGCTAGCTTTCTATGTTTCATGCACAAGTACCCCAAGTCATTCTGTGTTGCAGCTTTCTGTAGTTTTTATCCAATTATGCAATATTCTGTTTTTATTCTCCCTTCCAGAATGAACATCTGCACATTTTCCAATATGATGCTCCTCCAACTTATTGTCCACTTATTTAACCTATTAATAGCTCTTTATTAACTTTTTGTGCTCCCCTCGCAACCCGCCTTTCCAACTATTTTTGTGTCATCTGCAAATTGGCTACAGAACATTTGCTTCCTTCCTCCAAGTCATTAATATCTATTGGAAACAGTTGCAGTCCCAGCACTGATCCCCTTGGAAGCCCACTGATCACAGGTCGGCAACTTGAAAAGGAACACCATATCCCCAGTCACTGCTTCCTGCCCATTAGCCAATTTTCTACCCATGCCAATATACTACTGCCAACACTCCCTGGAAGTCTAAATACAACACATTAACTGGTTGCCCTCTATCCACTCTCGTTGAGACTTTCTCAAAAGGCTTTAATAAATTAGCTAGACATGATTTCTCTTTCATGAAGCCTCTGCTTGATTAGATTATGATTTTCCAAATGTTCTGCTACTTCCTTAATAATTGATTCCGATACTTTTTCGACAATAGATGTTAGGTTAAACTGCCAATCTGCTTTTTGCCTCCACCCACTTTTTGAATAGGGGTGTCAAATTGGCTATTTTTCAATCCTTGGCACTTCTCCAGAATCCAGGGATTTTTGGATAAATACAACCAAAGCATCCACCATCTCTTAGTTCTGTTCTCTACCTCCTTGCAATTATTTACACTTTGAATTAAAATGCATTCATTGTATTTATGAAACCATCCACATAAAGATGAGATTTGGAAAATAAATAGTACCCTGAAGAAATCTGATCCTGGTCTACAAGTGAATCGCATTGTTTGGCTCTTGAAACGGTGTTTTCTTATGTAGCTTTGAAATGATTTCCTTTAAAATACTCTGATTCAAATAAAATCACCACAAATAACAGATTAAAAAATAAAACACTATCAATTCTAGAAACCTGAAATTACAAAACAAAATTCTGGGAACAAGCTTTATTGAAAAGAAAAAGCCAACAAGGATGATTTGCTTACATAACCTTCACTGGTGTTTTCACAAATTAGCAATTTTTAAGCAATAAACTCTGGTGACGTTACTAATTTATAACTGTGTTATTACAGAACATGCATCAGACCCACTAACTGAAATAATTTCTGCTCAAAAAAGTTATAGAAATAGGCAGGTGTGAGCCTGATTCAGTGGTAGCCTCAAAAGCTCATGGTTTCAAGCCTCACTCCTGATACTTGAACACACGATCTAGCGTGAAACTCTAAAGCACTTCCAAGAAACAGCTGTTTTGGTTATTTTATAGTTCAGACAACATTGAAACTAGCCTTTGTCATCCCTCCAAGTTAGATGTAGAAAATCTATCAAAGGAGCTTTTTTTTTTGCCTACTTAACTCGCTGCTGTTTGTGGGACTGACAGCACAAACAGACTTCCATTTTTACTTCTATAAGTGATAAAACATCAAATGTACTTCACTAATTGTAAAGCATCTCTGTGATGTTGTAAGGATGTACAAGTTATTCTATAATTACTTTTTGATTTGAATTCAATAACTTCTAGTTAAGGCTAGACTTACAAACCAGGGAAGACAAACTTGAAAAACGTAATTTTCAATGGCTCTTGCTTTTATAAAAAGCTCTCCTTAGTGTGATGCAATGAAATGGAAATTGAGACACATTTACCTTCTCAGGTGCAGAAAGGCAGTATAACATTGTTTCCGGAATTCTTGGTACTGTTCACTCTGCATTCCACCCATCCCTTCTACCATCTCTTTACTCAGTTTCATGGGAGGTGGCAGAGGTTTAGGATCACGACCCAAAATATATCCAAAGTCTATGTGAAATAATTTCCCTGCAACAGTACAAAATCAAGCATAGATTATCATCTTAGCTTTCCACATGTTTTTTACTTAAAAAAGCAGCATCACTTCAAAATTGAGTTAATGAGGATCAAGTGAAGAAAATGGCAAGTGCAATGGCTCATTATCAAATCTTCAGCACAGTCAACTGCCAACATAACATTAAAGAAGCTTGCTTTACATTTGTATCTTACACTACTTAAATAGCCTTTTGAATGAGCGTAGACATCGTAGCATTTTCGGACAAATCTTTTAGCCATTTTTTGAAGTCTTTTCCTCCTAGAAAATGGGAATGATGAGGACTAATGTGTACCCCGTTTTCAGCTAATTACCAAATTATTCTGCATGAAACATGATCAGATGCATTTTTAAAACACTCCCCCTTTTTCTTGACTCAAGTTTATTTGTGGACTGAGATAGTCTACGTTTATAATCAATTCTATTCCTTATTCAATTCAGCAAGCTCTCCAGCAAAATGAAAAGATCTTTCTTGATAGGTTTCATCTCCCTCTTGTTTTTAACAAATCAATTTATCCTCAAAATACACAAGAACTGCTACCATACTACAGAAAGATTAATCTTAACCTGCAGCACGCAAAATATGGAACACTGGAATGTTGATCTATTTGTACTTTACAGATCAGGGTACAGATTTGACCACCCAACCATTAATGCTTCCTTCAATCAGTCAAATATGTTCTCCATTACACAGTCGCTGCTTTTGCGAATCTTGAATGATGGGCTTATTCTGAGCACTCATGCAAGAATCTTTCTAGAAATGAGTGCTATTCAACAGTACTGCACATTTCCCTTGGGTACCAATTGAACACAAGCTGCACAAAAAATGGCTGCAAAAGATTCAACGTTAACTGTCAGAATTCCAGTCATCTGAGCTCTATGTGACCCACTGACTTTGTTCAATGAATTATTTTTGCTGCTAGAAGGAAAACAGAGCAAGAGAGACAGTAACTTTTAAGAAAGAATTGGAATGGTTTTGAAAATGTAATTTTTAAACTATTCATAATCAATAGATCGTTTCATATTTCACACATGTCTGAAAGGCAGAGAAAGTCAGTGGATGTTTCACACAACACTAATAAAGAATGCATTATTATATATTTCTAATATTGAAATACAATACCAAAGAACTTCTGAGAATTAATCAAACAGCACAATATTTCCTTCCAAAAAGAGACAATTGGGGCCAGGCTAACCACAGACATTCACGCATGCAACCCACTTCTTTAAAATGTACCAAGCTACTTTCATTATTTGGAATAAGGTCTATCAAAACTTGCTTGAAGGCAGACTGAACGAAAACAAAGCTCCTTGTGATTTCTAGTCAGAGCTGTCCATTTACTATCCGAGGGTTCTTACAAGATCTTCCGTATGAAACGATTTATTATAAATGCTGACAAACATATCTCACAAAGCTGATGGATTATAGTCATTGAGATCAATCATTTAAACTTGAGAATACCGATATCTCGAGGATCCGGCAATTTATAAGGCAGTAGAATACGTGAAAATATATTTAGAATTATTCATTATTTTCTAGCATTAGGACTTCTGAAGATGGGAAAACATGAAATTACAGGTTATCTATTAAAAGAAAACATTAAAGGGCCACCGGATTATTGAAATTCTCCACTTTAAAAATGGTGTTGAAGTTGTGAAGTTTTCTGACATCAAAGCAAAATTTAAATGACCTAGTTAGGTTAATTCAGATTAATGGTAATATCTTGGAAATGAAGAAAATAAAAGCCCTGAAGATTCCTTACATTGGTATCCACTAAAGAGAAGGATGTCAGCGATGTTGAGGTTAAGGAAAAGTGTGTGAATACTCTCGGGCAGGTCAACATAATGAAGGACAAGTGTTGGGCGTCTTGAAATATATTAAGTTAGACGGGTCCCTGGGCCCAGATGGGATCTAGCCCAGGATACTGTTGGAGGCAAGGGAGGAAATAGCTGGGCCTTAACAAATATCTTTGCATCCTCTCTGGCCTCAGACGATGTTCCAGAGGACTGGAGAATGGCCAATGTTGTTCCTTTGTTCATGAAAGTAAACAGAGATAATCCATGTAATTACAGGCCAGTGAGCCTCATGTCAGTGGTGAGGAAGCTGTTGGAGATGATACTGAGAGACAACATTTATTCACATTTGGAAGTGAATGAACTTGTTAGTAATAAGCAGCATGGGCTTGTGCAGGGAAGGTCATGTCTAACCAACTTGATTGAGTTTTTTTTGAGGAGGTGACAAGAACGATTGATGCTGGAAAGGCAGTGGATGTTGTCTACATGGACTTCAGTAAGGAATTCGATAAGGTATCTTGTAGCAGGCTGGTACAGAAGGCAGAATTGTATCGGATCCGGGGTGAGCTGACTAGATGGATAGAAAACTGGATTGGTCTCTGAAGATACACAGTAGCAGAGAAAGGGTACCTTTTGGAATAGAGATGAGTAACTATTAGTGTTCTGCAAGGATCAGTGCTGGGAACTTTGTAGTTTGTAATATATACATACATGATCTGGAGGAAAATATAGGTGGCTTGATTAGTAAGTTTGCGGATGACACCAAAATTAGCAGAGTTGCAGATCGTGAGGAGGATTTTCAAAGGATACAGCGGGATACAGATAGATTCCAGATTTGGGCAAATGGAGTTTTACCCATAAAAATGCGAGGTGATGCATTTTGGAAGATCAAATTCAGGTGCAAATTATACAATAAATGGCAAAATCTTTAGGAGCATTGACCTACAGAGGGATCTGGGTGTCCAGGTCCACAGATCACTAAATGGCAACACAGGTGGATATGGTGGTCGAAAAGGAACACAGCACACATGCCTTCATCGGCCAAAGCAGCAAATGTAAAAGTTGGCAAGTTATGTGACAGCATTATAAAATTTTAGTTAGGCCACATGTAGAATATTGCGTGCAATTCTAGTCACCAAACTACCAGAAGGATGTGGATACTTTGGAGAGGATGCAGTGAAGGTTTACCAGGACGTTGCCTGGTCTGAAGGGTTTTAGTTATGAGGGGAAGTTGGATAAACTAGGACTGTTTTCATCGGAAAGATTCAGGCTGAGGGGGTGGTCTGACAGAGGTCTACAAAATTCAGAGACACATTGATAGGGTGGATAGTCAGAGGTTTTCTCCCAGAGTGGAAAGGTCAACTACAAGTGGGCACAGATTCAAGATGAGAGGGCGAAAATTTAGGAGAGAAGTGCAGGGAAAATTTTTCACACACAGGGCAGTGGGTGCCTGGAACGCACTGTCAGTGGAAGTGGTGGAAGCAAGCATGTTAGCAATGTTTAAAGCGTACCTTGACAGACACATGAATGTGAGAATAGATGGATAGATATCATGCTGGGCAATAAGTAGTGGGTCTAATTAAAAGTAAGGAATTGGCGCAGGCTTGGTAGGCTGAAGGGTCTGTTCCTGTGCTGTATTGAATTGTATTGTATACATATTGTATATTAAACAAGAAGGCTGCCAATGCAATGTACAGTCAGTATATCTATAATCAAGATAATGACACAATATTAACTATTATTCTGCCAACTTAAAAAAAATTACAATAGTTCACAAAAAGACTTGGCAGATCAAAAGTGCAAAGATTTTAGGATTATTTTAAAGTCTGCATAAACCTGGAATTCAGAGCTATATAAAAACAGCATGCAGCAAAATGCTGAAATGTACCTTTGTTGGTCGAAAGCAGCATTATAAAATAGATCTGCAGTGACACCTGCTGAATTTTTGCTCAAACTGAATTTATTTATAAGATCAACAAATCTTCAACTAAAATTACCTTTCGCATATTTGAATGCAAGAAAGGAATTCTGAAGATTGTGAACCACATCAAAAATCCTAAAGGCTCCGGATTACAATAACAAAGGTGGTATGTTGTTGGAAACTTACCTGTCTTTGTCAGCAGGAGGTTATCCAAATGTCTGTCCCCAACTCCAAGGATGTATGTAATCACACAATATCCAGCTACAACAAAATTAGATAGCTTTAATATCAGAGATAGTAAGAACTGCCGATGCTGGAGACAGAGATAACAGAGTGTGGAGCTGGAGGAACACAGCAGGCCAGGCAGCATCAGAGGAGTAGGAAAGCTGACGTTTCGGGTCAGGACCCTTCTTCAGAAAATCTGAAGAAGTTCTGAAGAAATGTCCCAACCCGAAATGTCAGCTTTCCTGCTCTTCTGATGCTACCTGCCCTGCTGTGTTCCTCCAGCTCCACATTGTGTTAGCTTTAATATCAAGTACTTTGTATCAGCTTGGCTAATGATGTCTCTGAAGAAACACCAAACAAATCAAAGTGTCTGGATACCTAATGCTTCATAGAGACATAGCAATTACAGCAAAAATAGGCCATTTAGCCTTTCAAACTTGCTCGACTTCTCAAAACGATCATGACTGACCCTACAATTTAGTACCCTGTTCTCACCTTTTCCCCATGTTTGAACCCTCATAGAATCCCTATAGTGTGGAAACAGGCCCTTCGGCCCAACAAGTCCACACCGAACCTCAGAGCATCCCACCCAGACCCATATAAACCACCTAATCTACACCTCCCTGAACAATACGGGCAATTTAGCATGGCCAATCCACCTAACCTGCACATCTTTGGATTGTGGGAGGAAACCCACGCAGACACTGGGAGAATGTGCAAACTCCACACAGACAGTTGCCCAAGGCTGGAATTGAACCCGGGTCCCTGGCGCTGTAAGGCAGCAGTGCTAACCACTGTGCCACCATACTGCCCCCAAACCCTTTAGGCAAAGGTGCTGTTGAAGAAGCCTCAATGAGGTTACTGCAGTAACTGTGTCAGTTGTGAGGGGATCAAATGTTTAGAATGGTAGATGAGACACCAGTCAAGCAGGTTACATTGTCCTGGATACTGTCGAGCTTCTTCAGAGTGTTATTAGAGCTGCACTTATCCGTGGGTCTGCAAGTTATTCTATTACACTCTTGACTTATGCTTTTCAGACAATGGAGAGTCATTGGGGAGTCACGAGGCACGTTACTTACCTCGGAATTCTTAGCTTCTGACCTACTTTTGTGGCTACAATATTTATGTGACTGGTGCAGTTTATATTCTGGGCAATGGTAACCCCTAAGATGCTGGAAGTGAGAGAATTCAACAAAGGCAATGCTGGAAAATCTCAGAAGGACATGGTTAGATTCTCTGTTGTTGGAGAGGGTCATTGCCTGGGATCTGTGGGGAGCAAATGTCACTTGGTACTTATCAACCCAAGCCTGGATTTCGTCCAAGTCTCACCACATAAGGATACGGGCTGCTTCAGTATCTGAGAAATGGTGAATATTGCTAAATGTTACGCAATCAACAAATATCCTAACTTCTGACTTTACGGAAGGAATGTTATAAAAGCAAATGAAGATGGTTGGGCTGCGGATACTACTTTGATGAACTTGCAGAATAATATCCTAGGACTGAGACAATTGACTTCCAAAGACCAGAGCTACTTTCCTTTGTGCTGGGTATAACTTCAACCAGTGCAGCATTCCCCCGACAATCAAATTGGCCTTAATGTCAATTGCAGTCACTCACCCTTACAAGTTCGGCTCTTTTCTACATGTTTGGATAAGAGCGGTAGTGAGGGTAGGTGTTATGTGTCCCCAGCGAAACCCAAAATGAGCTTCGATGAGCAGGTACTTGATAGTGAAGTGAAGATGAATAACATATCATCTCTGCTGATGATAAGCGTAGACTTGATGGGGTGGCAGTTAGTTGGATTTGATTTATCCTGCCTTTTGTGGACATGACATATTTGTGCAATTTTCTCACATTGCTGGGTAGATGCCAATACTGATGCTCTACTAGATCAATAACTGCTTCTGTCCACAATGTGAAAAAAACTTCCATATGAAATACTGGGAAGAACACAGTCATTGATTTCAGTGAAGGTAGTAATTTAGTCGTATTGTCACTGGACTTGTAATCCAGAGCCCAACTAACGGTCTGGGGATGGATCACCAGGACATACTTAAATACAATAAAATTTGAAATTCAAAAAAAAACTAGTCTAACATTGTCAATTGTTATAGAATCCCATCTGATTCATCATTGTCCTTTAGGGAAGGAAATCTTCCTTCTCCCTAGCAACTTGGAGGCTTACTCAGACTTTAAAATTCCCACCCACATTTTCAAGTCATACTGTAGCTTCTACATCCTCCTTCAGTCTCACAACCATCAGGGATACCCATGCTGATCTGCTTCAAGTCTCTTGTGCATGACTGATTCTAATTGTTCCACTATTGGTGGCCATTTCTTAAGTTGCCTAGCTCCTGAGCTCTAAAATTTCCTCCCTCAATTCTCCATCCTCAGTTTACTGTTAAGGTATTCCTCCAAGTTTTTGGTGATCTGCCCAAATGTCAGGTTATGCAGCAAGGTATCAAATTTTGCTTCTGAATATTCCTGTGAAGTGTGTTAGGTTGCTCTACTGAGTTGGAGGACACCATAAACGCAAGTTGCTATTGCTGAGCTCAAATCATTTAAGAATAATTTGATTTGTTATTTTTTACATTTTGCAACAAAATAGGATTAATGATCTCAAACTGATGATGCCCCTCGGTAGCAGAAATCATAATTGGATGAAATTTTACATTCAGCTTGAGGGTGAGAAGAATGTGCCCAAGCCTTGTATTTTAAACTTAAATAAGGGTAATTATGAGGGCACAAAAGCAGAGTAAGCTAAAGTGAACTGACAAATAAGCTTAAGGAATAGGTAATTAGAAATGCTGTGGCTGAATTTAAGGGGATGTTTCAGAATATGCAGGATAGATATATTTGAACAAATAGAAAAATTCCAAGAGGATAATCAACCAAGAGTTAACAATAGCATCAAACTTAAGGAAAAAAAAGCATATAATGGCCCAATGACATGAGGTTGGAAGATTGAGCAGAATGTTAAAAAAATCATAAAACAGATCGTTATAAATCAGGAAATGAAGGGAGAGAGGAATTCAGGATAGTTACAATCCCCAATGTAATGGTACTGAACAAAAATGCTGGAGTTGTGGGCTGACAGTCTGTGGGTCCTTATGGACTTCATGCTAGGGTCTTAAAAGAAGTGGTGAGTGAGATAGTTGATTGATTGCTTCCATTTTTTTAAAATTGTACTGTAAGACAGTGAATGCAATTTCTTTATTCAAAAAAGGGAGGTAGACAGAAAGCAGGACATTACAGGCCAGGTACCTTAAGCAATCATTAAAAAAATGTTAGAGTCAGTGTCCACAGGCCAAATGGCCTCCTTCAACACTGTAGGGATTCTATTCTATAATTCATTTTAGCAGGGCATTTAGGTTAAATTAAAACAGGCCAAGTCAATATGTTTTGAGAAAGGCAAATCACGTTTAATCAATTTTCTGGAGACTTTTTTGATCGAGTAACCTATGCTATGGACAAGGTGAACTGATGAATGTATTATATTTGGATTTTCCAGATGGCATTTGAAAAGATGTCACATCAAAGGTGATTTCTGAAAATAAAGGATGTGGGGTAATATGTTGGCATGGATAGAATATTAGTCAGCTAACAAAAAACAGTAGGCATGATTGGATTAGAGATAGTAGGAACTGCAGATGCTGGAGAATCCGAGACAACAAGGTG